ACTGGCTGCCCCGTCCCTCCAAAGTTACGAGAATGAAGATGATGCAACACAAGCATGACAACACAAGCTCACGTGGGGCAGCATCACCTACCAGCATATGCCCTGGCTTTGGCTTTAGAGGCACGGGTGCCCTGGGAGAGCGGACGTGTCTTCACCATCAGGTGCTTGGTGCTGAGGGCATCGCGTGCTGCAGGGAGAAAGCAGTGGTGTCTGCATGTGGGGCCAACCCCATGGCCAGGATCTGGCTGCAGAAAAAGCAGGGATGCCTCAAGTCTGTCCATCCCCAGCCAAACTGGCATTAGTACCTGTTATGGGGCTGGAGAAGATGCCCAGTGCGTGTGTATCATCCACCCACTTAATATCGAAGCCTTTTTTCCTGCCGGAGAGAGTGAAGCTCAGCAAGGCATTGGCATCGGGTGAGCAGGGGTCTGGAGCAGAGCCCAGCCAGACGACCCCAGCACCAGGAATGAGGCGTTGCCATCAGACTCACTGATAGCTGCAGAAGACACGCAGCAGATCCTCGGTGCGGAAATCCGAGGGAAAATCATAGATCTCGATGACGTGGGGCAGCTCGTCATCGCTGAGGTCTGGTGCGGCGGGCTCGGCGCAGTAGTAGTCGAAGCGGGGTGACTGCTGGCTCTCCCGGAGCTTCTCACCCCCCAAGAGCTGCGGAAGTGGGGGCACAGCACTGAGCAACCCCTGCCCACCCAACCTACGCCAGCTCCTGATCCACAGCAAGCACTCCCTGGGAAGTGATCCAGCCCCAACATCCTACCCCAGCACTACAAATGGATTACTGGCATTGAGATACCAGGAGTTATCAACAAGGGCTCTCACAGCATGTGCTTACTTTTCCCATATCCAGCATTCCTTCACTTGTCCTGCTCTGTGATCCCAGAACAGCACCAGTAACAGCGGTAATATCAGTAACTGCCAAGCATACCTTTCCTTCCACAATAATATGCTAATCCAAAATAAATCTGGAGAACAAAAAGGAGCAGGACAGCAAAGCCAGGACGAAAGACTGGCATCTGCCCACAGCACAGGAGCACCGGGCTTGGCATCCCCCAGCTGCAGCCCATGCCTGGGAGCAGCTCGTCAGCATCCCAGGTGCCAAGGCAGAAAAACCAGCACTCCCCTGAGGAGCAAGTTCTGGTGGTTAATCACCTGCGCAGCTAAAAATTCATGCCTTATTTCTCATTTGAATTTGCCTGGCTTCACTTTCCAGACAGAGATTCTTGTTCTGCCTCCCCACTGGATTAAAGAACCATCAGTCCCCGGTCCCCTCCCTGCAATGGCATTTACTCACCTAAATCAAGTCCCTTCTCAATCTTCTTCTTGATAAGCTAAACGGGTTGTGCACATTTAGTATCCCACAGCGGGACACTTTCTCCAGCCCTAAAAGATGACGGCTGTAGCACTTTTCTACCTCTCCCATTTTTCAACCTTCATTTTAAAACACGGGCAGCAATGTCCCACTGACACGACATGGGGGTGCAGCTGCCTCTGCTCCCCTCCACCTCACAGCACCAGTGCCAGTGGCCACCACTTGCTGCAACCCTGCTTTCCAAACCACCCTTGCTGATGGCTGAGGGGATTCATGGCCCTCTGCCTGGGACGTCAGGCTGGGCTCAGCCCAAATCCGCCAGCAGCTCCTCTGTCCCTCGCAGCATGTGGGACCGGCATGGTGCCGGGAAATGGGTACATAACTCAGCCAGGTTCCCAGCCCGATCCCCCAAGCGATCGTAGCAGAGCACACCACGGCTGGAAGGCTCGAGTCCATAAATCCCAGCCAGCTCAGTCAATAAAAAGTGCTCATTCCGACAATTTTATGGGGAAGATGGATTCACGGCAGGTGAGGGGGTGCTGCCAGGGTGGCTAGATGCTGGCGGAGGGTAGTTATAGAGCCCACGGGACAGCCTACCCCTGCCGGCAGAGCCACACGCCCCACCACCATTATCCATTAAACCAGCACACCCCCTCACCTGGCACCCCCTGCGTGCTCTGGGGAGGTGAAAGAGCCGTCCCCCAGCAGGATGAAGCCCTGCGGTGTCGCTTGAGGGAGCAGAGCGCTTGGGTAGTGCCAGGCTCTGGGAAGATGATTAGAGAGCAGGAGCGCAGAGCGCTGGAGCGGTCCTTGACCTTCACAAATCACCGAGTGTGGCGGGGCAGCAAAGGAAGGCGGCCGCTGGCGAGCCACACAGCAGGAACGGCTCAACAGGCCCCCCTCGTGCTGCCAGCCCGGGCACACAGGGTGCCCACAGCCCCCCCCCAGCCATGAGGTAGGGCAGAAAGTGGGGGCCAGGGTACGGCCCTCAGTAGGGCCCCAGCACTGCACTGAAGGATGGTAGAGGAAGAAAATGAATCCTGTCTGTCACACCTCACTGCTCTGTAAAGACAAACCCTTGCTGGAGCATTGTTAGAGGGGTCCATGGTCACCCCATTACGCTCCTGCTTGCTTGCTGAGAGCGCGTCTCCAGAGCCGGGGGGGAGGCGAGCACCAGCACGCACACACCACAGCCCCAGCTGATGGAGAGTCCACTGAGCCCATAGGGAGATGGTCACAGTGCTTAATTGCCCTCTGCATTCAAACTGATTTCTGCTCTGAATTTGTCTGATTACAGCTTCCAGCCAACAGATCTTGCGATGGTGTTTTCTTCTGCTAGATTAAAAAGCCATCCCCTATCAGAAATCTCTCTTCCACACAGAATGTCATAAATCTTGCTCTCGGCCAGCTATCCGCAGTGCATAAGGATTTGGTTACGAGGAAGAACGCTACTAATTTTCTTGTCCTTTTTGTTAAATAACAACAGCTCCATCTCCCCAGGAGCCTGCACCCTCCTCGAGCAGCCATGTCCACCTCCCAAGAGCTCAAAGCGCTCGAGAACCACTAAGTTCCACAAGGGAATCCGCAGCGAGGGTGAAGACAGCAACTTTTACTTGACAAATCCTTTTACCAGGTTCCCATCCACCCATTTTGGGAAGCTGCCTGGAAAGCCCAACCTTTGCTCAGAGCTTGTGCACTGGGGAGCTAATGCAGATGGTACAGTGAGTGCACCGGCGCCCACCGCAGCTAGCAGGGGGGAGCACAGCCGGGAAGAGATGAGGGCACTCAAAGCTCCTCCATGTCACCCTCCAAGCAGCCCCAGAGGTGAATGCTGTGTGCTCCACACCGCATCCCAGCCCCAGGCCAGGCTCAGTGAAGGCACACCAGCCCAAGAACAGTCCCATGGATGAGGTGGGTACCAGTGCACCTCAGTACTGATGCTCTTAAGTTTCTCTCATCCCTTCTCAGAAACACCAGTTGCCACTTCACAGCCTGCTTCAAACCCAGAGTGGATGGACGCTGGCTGTAACAATATTAGCACTGTTTGTTACTTTGGGTACATTAATGTCATTTGGAAAATTACCGGTTTGACGCTACTGATTTAAAATGCAATAAGAGGTACCCAGCATCACTGCAGAAGCCAAGCTTTCCTTGCGTATGGCAGGAAAACGGCGTGGGTCCTGGCACCAAGCAGCTAATTGTAGTAAATTCAGCTGCACGCGTGCAGGAGGGGATGGTAATGAACCACAGCTGATTAAGAAGCCGCAGTTTCTAGGAAACATCCTATTGCTATTTCAACGGGAGCCCGTACATCTCAGCCCATTTCTTTATCACCAGTCTTGGTTTCATGTGGGTGCAGCTGCAGTTTACAGCACCTCAAGCGCATCTTACCAAGTGCGTTTTACATACCCTAGAGGGAAGTCTTCCCCAGCCTTCATGGGATGGGAACTAGCCAAAGGAGGAGGTTAAGGTCCCAGGCATTTTGGCACTGCAGGCAGCTCATGCCCTCATGGATGGCTTAGGGTGACAGCAGCCAGCGCAGGAGGTGGCTGCACCCCCTGTGTGTGGCCCACCCCTCCATTCACCCACCACGAAACTTCACAGGCCCCCATTCCCATGTCCCAGCAAGCAGCAGGCATTGCCCCTGCAATGCCCCATGCACACTGGCTCACAGGACGTACCTCCTCCAGCAAACGCGGGTCCAGGCAGTCCCCATCGTCATTGAACAGCGCGTCCCAGCTCTCCTCGGCACCCGGGCTGACCTCGCCTGGGGTCCCAGCACTGGCCTGCTCTGCCTTTGGGGAACCACTGAAGAGACCTCCCTCCTCCTCCTCAGCCTCCTGGCTGCACCGGTGCTGCTGCAGTGACTCCACGTCCTCATCTGCTCTCACCAACTCTTCATCCCGGGCTGCAGGCAAAAGCACCTCTATGCCTCCGCACAGCAGCTCTAGGGATGGTGGGGGCTTGCGGCTCTGAATGAGAGCCCCCTCCCACATGCCACTTGCCAGATCCTTGCCAGCTCCTCCAAAGCTGCTCTCAGCCCTGGTGCTGCCCTCTGTGCAGGCAGAGGTGGTGCCCGCTCCCTCCACAGCACACATCGGGTTGACCTCCTCACTGGGATGCCCGGCACCAGCAACGCTCTCCTCCTTGCTGGGCAAGAACTCAGCCGTGCCTGCCCACCTCTCCTTCTCCTCCGGCACCCCAGACACACAGCTCTTATTCTGTCCTGCTAGGAGAGACTCCTCTGACTCCTTCTCCTCCTCCTGGGCTTTTGGACCTGCAACCTCCCACACGAGCCCAGGCACACTGCCCTGGTTGCACAGACGAGCCAGCTGCAGGACACCCTCTCCTGGGTGCTGGGAGAGGTCCCCAGATGGATCCTGGGTGTTGTCCCTCAAATGCTCCAGCATGTCACTCGGCCCTGTCCAACATGCCAGCACTGGGCTGGCAGAGGGTGCTGGACTAGGGAGGTCACCCCCAGGCTCAGGAGTAGCTTCTATGGCCCCAGGCTGGGCACTTGGTGGGGATAGAGGGTCAGGCTCAGTCCTCATCACTCCGCAGCCACGGCTGAGCTCCCCAAGTCCTTCATCATGAGATGTTTTGTCCTGCCCATCCCAGGGCTGGGCAACAGCCAGATCCGGACACAGCTCCTGCACGCTGAGTGATGCCCCTGGGCCCTCCGGCGCAGCGGAGAAGCTGCCTCCTGGCCTCTGGCAGTGCCCGGTAGAAGACACCTGTGACTCCTTCAGGCTGGCATCCACCTTGCTCTCCTTCCTCGCTGCTCTGCCCACCTGTGTCCTGGTATGGGGGCTTCGCCTCTGACCCTCGCCACTGTTCCGGCAAGCATCCTGCACCAGGTGGTGGTTCTTGGGCTCCTGGCGATGCCCGGCTGGCGTGTCCCC